ATTTTTCAATTGCTATTGTAAAAATATATTATGAGCCTTGTATTAAATTTTCAAATCTTAGATATAAAAGGAAAATTTTTATGAATTTCTAGCATAAAATAATTTACGAATTTTCGTGATTTTAACATAATATGTTGTCAAAATTCAAACTTTGAATGCTTATAAAAAAAAAATTCTGACTATGTATTTCTTTTATTTCGCAACTGCTATTGTAAAAATATGTTAGTAGCATTGTATTAAATTTTTAAGCTTTTCTACCGAACCAATAAATTTTTATCGATATTAATTTAAAAAAAACTAATAATGATCGAACATTTCAATCGACATTGAATATTTGAATATATGTTAATTTTAATAGATATATATTTTTTAATCAGTGTTGACTTTTTTGAGCTATATATAGAAATTTTAAAATGTTTAGTTTTATTTTTAAAATACCTATATAAATTATTTGCTATGTTATATTTTTAGACAACAAGAAGCTGAAGATGAACTTAATATTGTTTTGACCGAATTAAAAGCGAAACAAAAAATGTTAGCTGACGTCCAAGCACGTTTAAAAAAACTCGAAGATATTTATGACCAAAGTGTTTCTGAAAAAAACAAACTGGAATTAAACATGAGTAAAACACAATCACGATTAAACCGATCTGATTTACTTGTTGAAGCTTTGAGTGAAGAACAGCTAAGATGGRAAAATAATATACAAGTATTTTGTTATATTCTTTACGTTGCCTAAGGCATTTTAACTCAAATTGAATTTTTACATTCTGTTAAGATACTTTCTCAACGTTTATTGACGGTGACCGGTGACACTATAATTGCAGCCGGGAGTGTTAATTATTTGGGACCTTTCACAGACGAGTATCGTAAAGATATAACTAATTCGTGGCTACAACAATTATCACAATATGAAATAAAACATTCAGAAAATTACTCATTGAGCTCTGTACTAATCGATTCGTTTGAGTTACGCTCGTGGAATATGTGTGGCCTCCCTAGGGATTCGGTGTCAACAGACAGTGCGATAATCGTGACAAGAGCAAGTCGTTGGCCACTGATGATAGATCCCCAAGAACAGGCAAACAAATGGATCAAGACCTTGGAAATGGATAATTCGTTGAAAACATGCAAAGGTACGGATTCAGACGTCATGAACGTAATCACTGATGCGGTAAGACTGGGGTATACGGTTTTAATAGAAGGTCTCGAAGAACACATTGATCCCACATTAAGACCAATATTGGAGAACATAACATTTTCACGAGTACTTAACTTCTTCGATTAACAAACAAGCATTTTCTAAATGATAAATTATTATCAATTGTTATTATTAGGGTGGACGGCTGTTAATGCGCATTGGTAATACTGACATAGAATATGACGATCAGTTCAGATTCTATATGACAACAAAAATGTCTAATCCACATTATTTACCAGACATATGTATACAAGTTACGCTGGTAAATTTTACTGTAACGCCTTCAGGATTAGAAGACCAGTTATTAGTGTAAATAGTAGTATAAATCTTAAAATAAATTTATATATTTAAATTATTTATAATATTTACTTTATTAGAGATGTTGTGCGATTAGAAATGCCTGATTTAGAAGCAAAGCGGACTGAAACCATTGTGAGTATAAACGATGACAATAATTTATTAAAAGAAATGGAAGACAAGACGTTAAGAATGCTCAATATGTCAAAAGGAAATATACTGGACGATGAAGAACTCATCGAAACACTTAATAACAGCAAGGTAGGACTAGTAAATATTGACACTTTCTAATACATTTTATTTTGTAATTTAATTTTTAGGAGACGTCTATTATCATCGCTGGACGTTTAATAGACGCAGAAGAAACGGAACAATACATCGGGGTGGCTCGTGAGCGTTATCGAGTGGTAGCTAATAGAGGATCATGCCTTTATTTTGTTGTAGCTCAGCTTTCTGAAATTGACACTATGTACCAATTTTCATTGAATTATTTCAGTTCCGTAAGTAATAATAAAACGGTGTGTTGCTTTTCATATTAAAATTTATTATGTAATTTAGATATTTTGCAATGTAATTAAGAACTCTGACAAAAAAATGAGAATAGATATTAAAATGCCTACCATGATCGAAGATATTACCCAGGCTGTTTATACAAATGTTTCTAGAGGTTTGTTTGAACGCCATAAATCAATATTTAGTTTTTTGGTCAGCGTCAGTATAAATTTGCAATCGGGAAAAATCACAKATGACCAATGGAACTTTTTGTTGCGTGGGCCCCTAGGAAAAGTAAAAAGGAAAATGACGATAAAACCAGCGGTATTTGGGTTAACAGAAGACATTTGGAAAACTGTAAACTATATGTCTGAAACATTTACTGCTTTTAAACATCTTCCTGAAAACTGTACCGGACCAATACAAATCTCACTAGGCGAGTTTATTCAAGATATTCATTTAGATCACAAAAACAATAACATTTCTGTAAACTGGAATACAAAATTAAATTCATTTGAAAAACTTATGATGATTAAAGCGTTCAGAGAAGAAAAATTAATTTTCGCAATTACTAATTACATCAGCACTGAACTCGGAAAAACATTTATTGAAAGTCCAAGAGTTTCACTCCAATTATTATACAATGACACGTCTCCAACCATACCATTGATTTTCATTCTTAGTCCTGGTTCAGATCCATTCGTAGCATTCCAAAAGTTTGCTACGGAATTCGGCATGATAGATAAATTATGTGCAATATCTTTAGGTCAGGGCCAAGGACCTATAGCAGAAAAACTTATAAAAAATGGTCAAAAAGAAGGCAACTGGATATTCTTGCAAGTATTAATCATACAACACAAAATTTTATAACAAATAAGTACGTTGTCTTAAAATTTATTTTCAGAACTGTCATTTAGCTTCATCGTGGATGCTTCCTATGGAAAATTTAGTTCAAAATCTAATCGAAAATCCAACAAATATTAAACCTGAGTTTAGACTGTTTTTAAGTTCAATGCCATCAAAAAGCTTTCCAACTTTCGTCCTACAAAATTCATTGAAAGTTACAAACGAACCACCCAAAGGCTTACGAGCAAATATGAAAAGATCGTTTACAGACATAAATAGCGATTTCTTCGAAAACAATGGTGAATATCGATTTTTGGTTTTAAATTAAATATCTATATTTCTGTATTTTTAAAATAATCATGTAATTATCGTGCGATAGCATTCAGCTCTAGCTGGCGGAAAATGGTGTTTGCGCTGTGCTTTTTTCATGCTATCATATTAGAAAGAAAGAAATTTGGGTCGCTTGGATGGAACATAGCATACTCGTTTACTGACAGTGACCGTGAATGCGCTATGCTATTGTTACAAATGTATTGCTTAACTGCAAAAGAAATCCCTTGGGATGCTTTACAGTACGTTACTGGTGAGATAAATTATGGAGGTAGAGTTACCGACTCTTGGGATCAAATAACATTGAAAACAGTACTTTTGAATTTCTTTGGTCCACACACCCTCAAACCAGGTAATATAAATAACAAATTGACATTATAAATTAAGATCTCTACTTTTATATACATCATATTTTTCAGGCTATAAATACTCCAAGTCTGGTACTTATTATTGTCCAGAAAGTGCGAATTGCACTACTGTTGATGAATATCAGCTATTTATTGATAAACTGCCAATAATTGAAGAACCGGAAATTTTCGGAATGCATGAAAATGCGAACATCGCGTATCAAGTATAAATTTGATTTTAAAATAAAACAATTATTGCATGTGTGTATCATATTAATATGTAATAATTCCATCAGACTAAAGAAACACAAGAAGCATTATTAACAATCATTGAAGCATATCCGAAATCACTAACAGGCACTGCTGGTAAATCAGACGATGAAATAGTTATGGAAATGGCCATCGATATTTCCGAAAGACTCATGGATGTCATAGACTTAAGTGAAGCTCATTTCACAATAATGAATAAAGATGATAAAGGAAGATTACCTTCTTTATCTACAGTACTATCACAGGAGATCGAAAGATTTAATAAATTACTTGACATCATTCATAATTCTTTAAATGACTTACGTAAGGCTATCAAAGGACTCGTGGTCATGTCTGCAGAATTGGAAGGAGTTTATGTATCATTTATGAACAACATGGTAGTATTAGAACCTATATGTTTTTCAATTATTTCATCCGATGTCCCAAATATATGATAAATTCATAACATTTCACAGGTACCGAAAATGTGGTCTAATAAGGCATACCCCTCGTTGAAGGCTTTGGGTAATTGGGTTAATGATTTGGCACTTAGACTTGATTTTATCAACGTAAATGATATTTGCAAATAATCGTATTATGGGAGTATTATAATCTCGAAAATTCTAAAATATCTTAGATATGGATGAAGTTTGGTAGTCCTCCTTCATACTGGATATCAGGTTTGTATTTTCCACAAGGTTTCATGACTGGATGTCTACAAAGACATGCTAGGAAATATGCCATACCCATTGACAGTTTGAAAGTTGATTTTGAGCTTACTCAAACCATTCTGGCACAAGAAGAAATCGCCGCTGTTCATACAATCGCCGCGAAAGAAGACAACAACGCTTATAAAGGCCTAACAAAATTGGAAGACGGCGTTTATGTGCACGGCCTGTATCTGGACGCCGGGCGCATCGATCCTACCACCAGCCTTCTGGTCGATCCTACGCCCGGTAATATTTCAATTCAAGGAACAAAAATTAAAATTCTTTCGAAGATACACAATTATAGAATATTTATATTATTATTTCTGATGATTCAAGGTGACTTGTATCCTCCAATGCCCGTTATACGACTAATACCGACTGTCAACTTGGACGAACATAGTTTGAGGTACAATTGCCCTCTGTATAAAACTTCAGCCAGAGCTGGGGTTCTTTCGACCACCGGACATAGTACTAATTTTGTAATTGCTGTATTGTTGCCAACTGACTTTCCAGGGAGCTATTGGACCCTCAAGGGCACCGCTCTTATCACACAATTAACAAATTGACTGTTGCCATAGTATATTATTATAGTGTATTTATATTGTATCCATTTACTTTAAACACACAACAAATTATATATATATTATCACTTTGATTATTCGCTTTTAAATAAATTATTTATTATGTCTTATAATCGGTTAAATGGTAAGGGCACCTAAAGAGTAACTTTCAGAGGAAAGATCAATTAAAACTAGATTCCGGAACCTACACATATTATATATAATTCATATTATAGGTACTAAATTGCTTTTTCGATAAAACTAGCCAAGTAGAAAGAATAGTTAGATAGATAATATGTACCTACAGCAATTATGTAAGCGTTAACTTCAAAATCACTATTGAGGGTTAGGTTAGGTTAAAAGAAATATTTTAATTATTCTATGTTTATTAAAATACTAATGTTAAATGTAAAAACACAAATTTCACAAACGTGATGTTATCATAAATATAAATAATATTATATTCTTTCTACTTGGCTAGTTTTATCGAAAAAGCAATTATGTAAGCGTTAACTTCAAAATCACTATTGAGGGTTAGGTTAGGTTAAAAGAAATATTTTAATTATTCTATGTTTATTAAAATACTAATGTTAAATGTAAAAACACAAATTTCACAAACGTGATGTTATCATAAATATAAATAATATTATATTATTCGTCTTGGTGGGTTTTATAGTGGGTCTGGATCATATACGCAATAACGGGTTAAAAAAATTATAACTAATTTAATAAACATATACAACTATACAACTATTATCAGATATATTATATTATTATTATTTATTCTGGTCGCAGTTGTGGTCATCAATTCTTAAAATTGAGGCCTAAGACAGTCATTAACATGAAACAATTCACAATCTAGTGTCCATCCTTGTTCAATTTGACAATCTTTAGTCGAAAAAGTTGAAAAACATGATAATATATATTTTAATTGTTAAATAAAAAAGGTGGACAAGTGGGTACCACTCTGCTATGAAATAATATTATTATCGATATTGAGTTAGTCTCAATAATAAATGTATTAATTTTAATTCGATGTTATAAAATAGTTATGTATGAAAAATGTTCATGAACAGAAACGATATTTCAGCAAACTATAACTACTGATACTTTTTTTTTTTAAATCTTAACTGTCGAACCGGGGGAGAACTGGCTATGCTTTGCATTCCCTTCGGTCTGCCATCGTTTATAAATTTTAAAATTTTCATAAATTTTAAAATTTTCATAAATTCCAAAATTATATAGGTATACATAGAAAATGCCATCATATAAACGTAGTAATTGTGTGTATAAAATATAATYATTTACTTATATACTTGAAAGTTTCAAGCATCCACCAAAAATATTTTTAAATCGCAACGGAATAACTAAAATATTGTTATTCTTTATTTAAATATACAGGGTGTCCCAAAGAGATCTGACAATCTGACAAATGAAATAACTTTTGTTCTAATCGATATTTTAAAAAAAATTCTTTTAAATATAATCCATAGATACTTGTGCTACATTTTTTATTTTTTATTTTTTAATACTGAAAATAAAAAACTTAAAAATTGATAAATTTTTTTTCGAAATATTCAATATAGCCAATTTGTAAGTTTGATTTTCAGAAAAATGTTTATGGTAAAAATACTTATTTAAGTCAAAAGGCTGATTTTTCACAA